GTGTAGGGAGACACCTCCAGAGGTCAGCTGACCCTATCTAAGGTCTGGATTGCCTTTTGGAGGCAATTGTCCCTCTCCATTTACTTACAGAGAGATCCTAGAAGGAGTAGGTGGAAGTAATCAAAGGCATGATGTGTGAGGGGCTTAAGGGACAGAGGGAAGTCCCACACACAGATGAGTTCTCCATGTATCTGCTGTGACCTATACACCTAACTCAGATATTACCGAAATCAGCAAATGTCATCAGTGACTGTGTTTCATCCTTCAGTTGTGATATTGCTCTGCCTCTGCCTGTGTATTTTGCCAGCACAAGTACGTTTCCATCTCAGACGTCCAGATCAAGAACGAGGAGGAGCTGGAGAAGTGCCCCATGTCTCTGGTAAGAACCTGCTGCTCCCCATACTAGATAGATGTGTGGAAGATTTCCAAGGTGTCATATAAATCCATATGTTCTCCATGATCCTTAGGACACACCTTAGATGCTCTTTTTTTAGAAGTCCGTATCTTGATTAAATGTAGCAGTGGAGAAAGGCCTGGAGCTTCCTGCAGTCAGCATGCAGCTATGTCCATCATTAAGTCCTCAAGCTGGGTTTTATGGAGGTGACTGACATATCTCAAGTGCGTGGACCGGAAATAATTAATTTTCCCTTGTTTCTAACGTTTCTCTGTGCTAGGGGGAAGAGGAAGTCCAAGAAACCCCTTGTGAGATCTTGTATCGAGCAATGTTGTACAATCTCCCCCAGTATATGGTAAGCCCGTGTTTCTTAAAAGAAAAGATTTTGAGTGGGGAATGGTGCCAATCTGTGAGCTGCAGAGCTCAGCACAGGGCTGCTGGGGCGTGTTCAGGACTTGAATGGTGAGATTTTGGTGGGAATCCAGAGCAGACTTGTGTGGAAAGTACAGTCCAAGAGGAGGGATTAGAGAATCAAGGAAGGGATGTAGATACCCAGGGACACAGTCAAATGGTTGGAGACAGGTCGGTGGTTGGAAAATAGGATGTATGCGGAGGATTGGGAACAAAGAACAAAGTCCTCCACATTGGTGGGAGCTTAAAACTGGTTCCTGCCCATTGGACACTGAGGGGAATCAGTCAGGGACGGCTCCGTGTCATCTCTTGAGCTGTGTGAGCTGTAGCATTTACCAACAAGTTGTTGCACACCGATGCAGGCACCTTCACTTCTGACCTCAAGAAGCAACCTACGGAATTCACTGGTCCCTTGAGCCTTTGTCTTTCTTGCTGAGATTAACTTTCCATTACGACGTAGCACTGATCTCCGAGCGTGATGGCTTGCTGGGCCAGGAACCAAATTAAACCATCATTGTGCTTTACGAGGCTCAGCAAACAAGGTGGTAATGCCTTCAGGTCTCTGCCAACCTGGCTGTGCTCTCAACAGCTATTCAAACTGTGGAGAGTCTGTAGGTTATGACCTTCCTTACAGGGACATCTCTTGCAGCCTTTCCTTGGCCCCAAGAGATTCCCAGAGGAATACAATGCGTGTCCTGAAATTCAGCTACATTGCCAGGTTGGATGAGGCTTTGAACAACCTGATCTAGTGGAAGGTATCCCTGCCCATGGCAGGGGCCTTGGACTAGGTGATCTTTAAGATCCCTTCCAACCCAAATATTCTGTGATTCTGTGATTCTAAGATGCCAACTGGGTCACTTGCGCTCTGTCTGTAGGGAGAGGCAAACACAGATTTAAATGCATTAAGCTCCAGGTGTCCCTTGCATTATTTTATCCATACTATTAGAGCTCAGGTGCTCATGATGCCTTAAGTTAAGGCTAAAACAGAGCTGCCATGCTCCCCACACATGGCCTGACTGTCCAAGGTATAAAAGGAGAGGTTGAGCCTTGGCATAGTCAGTCCTTCACAGTGAGCAGAGCTTGGGCTGGTGAAACCCTATGGAGTTGGCTTGAAGTTGTCCAGTTTCAGCAAGTGAAGTAGAAGGAAGGAATGCCCCTTCCTGGGAGCATCCCTCCATGCCTGTCCTCCCCTGCAGATAGCTTTGCTGAAGATCCTCCTTGCTGCAGCGCCCACCTCTAAAGCCAAGACCGACTCCATTAACATCCTGGCAGACGTGTTGCCTGAAGAGATGCCGTAAGTCCTTGAGGAGGTGGCCACCAGCCATCCCAGCTTTGCCATGAAGTCTTGGACTGAGCAGGAGAGTTGGGGTTTGCTGATAGGTTCGGGGGGCTCCAGATGTGGGGACATCTCTTTGGATAGGTGCAAGCTACTGTTGCTGCCAGGGCAGAGGGGTGAAAGCCAAGGATGTGAATGCCAGTTTTTCAGGAGCGTAACAATTTGAGTGCAGTCGGCAGCTGCTGTGCTCTGCTAGCTAAGTGACACAAATCATAAAAAGATGCTAATTGACACAAACCATAAAGATATGTGAGCATATGGTAGGTGTCCTTCATACCGCTCCCCCAGGATTGCTGGCGGAGGGCAATCAGCTTTTGTTTCCCTTTTTTAATGCACTTTTCACCAGACAGGAGGGGATGGAAATGGGAGTCCCAGAGGGAAGCGAAGGTCTCTGTTTCTGTAAAGCCTGCCCAGATGAAGTCCCTTAGTCCTTCTTGCTCCCATACCCACTGTGCTGTTGCCTTCTTTTCCTCCAACCCAGCATCACCGTTCTTCAGAGCATGAAACTGGGGATTGATGTGAACAGACACAAAGAGATCATTGTGAAGAGCATCTCGGCTTTGTTGCTGCTGCTCCTCAAGCACTTCAAGCTGAACCACATCTACCAGGTGAGCGTAGAGAAGGGGTCGGCCATTGCCAAGCTGGTCTTGAAGCCGGTGTGTCCTGATAGATCCTCTCCTAAAAGATGTCTCCAGGAAGGGTTTCCATGCGGAGTTGCAGATTGCTTTTCTGTAGCCGTGAACCCTAGCCCCGGGCCAGGATTTGTATAGGGTTACTCGGGCAGGGATAACCTGCCTGCAATATATCTCTGACTGTGTTTTGACAGGATTGTTTCCACTCACGTGGAAGGAGTTTTCAGACTTCTGGAAAAATTCACGCTGTGGCTGATCAGGTTAAAATTTAGGAGATATCACGAGCATGGGCCTCGCCAGCAGAAGGGGGAAAGGGATGGGGGCTAGACAAGACCCTCTTTTGCTCTGTCTCATCTCCAACGACCAAAAATAGTGCTGGGTAGGACCTCACGAGGTCAACTAATCTGGTCCTCTGTCCCTCAGCAGGATCAAGTTCTTGGGGCTCCAGTTTCAACAGAGCCTGGAGCTCTGGGTCCTAGATGCAATCTGGTTTTTCTTTCACCTGCATGGCACCAATCGAGCTCACCCACACAAGGGCTTTCCTTGATTAAAAAAAGACTGAGGACTGATTTGAGCTGTGGCCTGGGCCCAGTTCTCCACCCGTTCTGCAAGTCAAACAATTAGTGTTTTCTGATTTTTTTTTTTCTTTTGAAGGTTTCAGCATGGTACAAATCCATCTGTGTTATGAAGCCATCTGTGTTATGAAGTTATGATATTTATCTGACGATAAATATAAATCCATATATTGGATTGAATAAAATGAAACAAACCCCCACATTTTTACAATTCTACATTTGTTCTGGGTCCCCCCACGTCCCTTCACTAATTTTTCTCGCTTGACCCCCAAAACGGCTCCTCTCATTTCTTCCTCCGTGGCAGGAAGACCCTTGTCTGGTGCTAAGTCTGGAGAAAGCTGTGGGGTTTCCCCCCCGATTCTGCTTTTGTGTCTGATTTTGGGTGAGCCATCATAATTTCTTTTGGTGCTGAAGCTGGTCTCAAGGACCACCCCAAAAAACGCTGCAGGCGCTGAGCTGATGCTTCCAGCATCAACGGAGGCAGCGGAGGGTAGCGGAGAGCGTGGCTGGTCCAGGCTCTGCTGGGGGTCACCCCGTGCTCACCAGCTGCCTCATCGGCGAGGCAGCAACTGCACAGACCTGCACACCAACACAGATCATGGGGTTTTTTGTCTCGTTTCTGTCAAGATTTGGTGTTTCTTATGCCAACATAGAAACGCCATCAAATTATTGCAGTTCAGCAAGTAAGCATTATCTCCGGTCTGATCCTATATAACATACTAGTTGCTGGCAGCTGCATTTCAAAGCAGTGAGAGCATCTCAGATCCCGACTAGCGGGGACTGCCGATTACTCACTCGCAAATAATGGCAGCGGTGTGTCATCAGTGGCGTACCGAGGGTCGACAGCTTGTACTAGGCTGAGATGAGATGTGTAGGAACAAACTGTTTCTTCGCTCTCAAATCTGGGATGTTGATTGCAGGTTAGTGAGAGGCATGGGTAGGATAGATGGGATAGGATAGGATAGGATATTGCTGCTATTTGTGTCTGTCTCTTTAGAGGACAGTAGAGATTTGTTGTATTATGCAGCCATACATACCCAGAACGTTTAATGTTTAGAGGGGGAGAGAAATTAAAAGCATGTGTACTTTTTCGAAAGTCGAAATTTGAAAAGGGACTGGGGTTAGTGTGGGACAGCAATAGGAATTATTGTATTTTCTCATGGAATATCTACATCTCCTCCTTCCCTCTTCCCCATACACTGTTTTGCCACAGATTTTTATCTTGAAAAGCTACACTGCAGTCATTAGGTGCAGCTATTCCTAAACTACTGCCATAAAGTTTGTGTGTCCACTCTATGGCAAATAGAGTTTTCCAGCTGGTGGGAGTTGCTGTATATGATACAAGCCTTATACAGCAGACTTCTGCAAGGGGACGATGGTCTGCGAGGTGTCTAGAGCAAACCATCAGGACTGCTTTGCTTTTGGCTGGAAATGGGTTTCCATTCCCAGGTGACGCTCCCAGTTGTTCCACCTAACGTTGACCCATTTCACTTCTCTTCCTCAGTTTGAGTACGTGTCCCAACATTTGGTGTTTGCCAACTGCATCCCGCTGATCCTGAAGTTCTTCAACCAAAACATCATGTCTTATATCACTGCCAAAAACAGGTACAGCCACTTCTGGGCAAGAGAGAGATGATGGAGCAGGGAGACTTTGTGCATGAGGAACCCTAACACGTGAATATGTGGTGGGACCAAGTGACCTCTGGTGCCTAGCACGCATTTGGGGCAGTATGCTCTCCACTACAGGAATACGCTGGAGAGGAGCATTCCCCTTAAGCATTCTGTTTAATGAGGAGGACCGCGTAGGGGGTTTCCAATCTTTCACCGGACGACTAAAATACATGTAGACCTGTCTCCCTTGCTGACAGTAGGCTTGTTTCCATCTTTACATGGAATCCTGGAAAGCAGTCCAGTGCCACTGGGCATCTGTGGGACACAACTTCAAAAAGGCTAGATGGGGTAGAGTCTTCTAGGTCTTTTCCACTTTCTATAGCTATAATTCAGCTTTCCTAACTTCTTCAGGTTTCACATAGTTGTCGCTGCCTTTTACTTCTGATTTGAGAAAGACACTAGGCCCGTTTTGAGTCTGTATAGGGACTGGCTGGATTATCACAAGTCAGCCTAAGAACTGAAAGAGCACAACTCTTTCACAACTCGGTAGGACTGGGTAGGATTTCCCCATTCGGAGGGGAGCGCCGCAGGGGATGTTGCTGTTGGAACGATGAAAAGATCGTTTTTGTTGCTTTTTGATGTTCTTTTTGTTGTTCTTGAGCCACGTGTGTAAGCTGGTCTGTCTCCTGCACGGTATGGTTGTGTATGCGTGAGAAGGCACACGTGGAAAAATAGACAGTAATACATTAATACTCTTGCTGATAAACATTTCCACTTTTGGTCCTGTGTTTTAAAGGCACTTAAGTGAGGAGGAAACGTAGCCCAGGAGCACTTAGCTCCCTCCTCTGCTTTCTGATGGAGGTTTCACAGGCTCCTGTGAAATGAGGTGGGGTTTGCAGCTGGATGCTCTGATCCAGGGAGGTTTAGCTGATCTGCCCAGCCCGGAGTACCGGTTTGTCAGATACTAGTGAACAATGTCGGGCACTACCCTGCAAAAAGGATTGTGGGATTTTGTCATGTTCAGATGTATGGACCTGAGTCCAGTGATGCTGCAACAGGAAATATCAGAAGTGATGTCAGTACAATGACGACTTGCGGCAAATGAGCCGTGGGGCTGCTGGTCCTGAGCTGGCTCCCTCTGAGCTCTCTTGCTTGTATCTGCACGGCACTTCCAGTTTTAGGGTTATGATGGGTAGGAGCCAGCAAGGAGCATCTGTCCTTGTGGTCAGACAAGCCCTTCCTGGGTCAAACTCTTTAAACAAAGCCTGTTTTAGGGGATCTCCCGACCTTTGGTCTCATCCTGGATTCCTTCTGACTCAGTGATCATTATAAGTCAGCTTGTTGCTCAGCTGCTGAATTTAAAAACAAAAAATAGCAAACAAGAGGGAACACAAGAACTGAAGCTATATGATAGTGCACGCTTCATTTTAGAATGGTGCACGTCTCAGGGCACAGATAGCATCAGTGTGTGTGCGTGTATGTATACATACATTTTATATATATATATATGCTTTTCTTTTGTTTTTTTTAATTGGCTACTTTAACAAAGGCAATAAGCCTGGAGGGCTTTGAAAGACCTGATGCCTTGATTACCCTTTCTTGCTGGTAATCAGATGTCTCCATTTTAACCTAAGATCTGTTTTGGGGTTTTTTTTCTTTTTTTAAATATGCATATGAATAACTAATCTGTCATGTCTTAATGGATCCAAATCCTTCGAGTCCTTATTAATGCACTCAGGATGTGCTTTGGAGCCAAGAGGAATCAACGTGCTCCATTAAGGTGAGACGCGAGGCAGCAGTGAGGCTGGGAGCCCATTTGGATGCCGTCTGTGCAGTCGGAAGCGCAGGAGGGAGGCACGTCCGAGCAGCACCGGCTGCGGGCTGGTTCACGTGCCCAACGTGGCTCGCTGGAGATGGGATTGCTACCCATCCAAACTACTTTCTGCATAAGGCAGCGCTGCCATTGCAATTCAGACCCCAGGCACAGGGAAGGAAGATGTTACAGATTGCTGAGCATAATCACGTAGCTCATCTTAAAAAGTTGCTTTCATATTTACCTGGTTCTTAACGAGTCCCTTCTTTCCTGTCTTCCACAGCATCTCCGTCCTGGATTATCCACATTGTACAGTCTATGATTTGCCTGAGCTTACTGCAGAAAGCCTGGTAAGCAGCACAGAAAGGGTCCTTGTAACCAGTATTGCTGTATGCGAGAGGGTGAGGAAGGATTTTTGTTTTCTTTTTTTCTGTCTTCTTTTTCTGTCCCCCCAACCTTTCCAAAATTAGACTTTTTTTTCCCCTCCAGACTTGAAAATTCCTCCCATCGCTATTCTGACTCGCTATCAGCTATGGGGAGGTGGGGAGGAGGCGCTGCTGACATTGTGCACCCCATAAAAATAGCTGGGTTTAGAGTTTTCCCTTTTGCTTCTCCAAATGAGAGAGACTGCTTTTGAAAAGGATTTGCCCAGAGGCCGTTGCCTCCCAGGTTTAAATTGCTCTGAGCACTCGCGTTTCGTAAGATGCCAGTAGATTAAGGAATGAACCAAATTCCCTACGGAGAGGAGCCTAAGTAGCTGGAGACAGGCCAGCGTGATGGGCTGTGTGAATATATGGACTACAGATGAGGCATTAATGCTGGCAGGTTCATAACTGCAGTAATTCAAATGCAGAGTAGGTTGGACTTGGAGAAGGCGCAGAGCAGGGACAAGCTTTGGGGTTAACAGGGAGGGGGATGAGAGAAGGAAGGGAGACCCTAAATGATGCAGGAATCGTTAAGAAGAAGCCTGACCAAAACCAGTCGGAGGATCTCATGTTGCCTGGCTGCTAAAATCTTAAGCCAATGTTGTTTTCCTTAGCCGTGTAAAGGTTAAAATAATTAAAATTAAGTGAAAGATTTTCCCTAGCTTCTACAAGCCAAAGTTGCTCACGAATCCCTCCAAGGCTGTGGTCAGCCAGGGCAGCCAAACTGGTTTTATTGGATCTGTAGCCACAGTGTTTCTGATGTG